GTCTAGTATAAAGGTTAGGAAAAGTTAGGAGCTGAAGGAAGACTTGGGCAGGGAAAATGGATGAGAAAACACATAGTCGGACTAGAAGGTCTGGCATTTTTGAAGAAGTTCAGGATGACAAGGATAACAGGAATGTTTGGATTCAAATTTATGTAGTGAAGTTTATGGGTCTAGGAAAACCAAAGTGTCATTGGTTACTTAATGAGATTAGCAGACTGCAAACTTTGCTTTGAGTTCAAATGCCTTGCCAATTACTAGATTCTTATTCTCTAGCAGTTTATAATTTAAAAAGGAGGAGGCTGTGTAACCAAAGAGCTCTAGTCTAATGTGGAAAGTGTTAAGTGCCATTTTAGAGTATAGGCAGAAGTGTAGTCGACTGAGAGTTTTGTTCCAGCTGGAAGACCTGGGGAAGATTTCTTGGAAAAGCTAGCCTTTTAACCGGGTGTTAAAGTGTAAGTAGGATGTTAATAAATAGATTGGGATAAATGGGCATTCTTTTTGGAATGGCATGAGCAAAGGTGTGAATTCAGGGAAATATGGAGCTTGTTTGTGGAACAGTTCATAAAAGGTCAACATAGAGAGCTTGACCTCAAGACGAGCAGTGGGGAAATGGAAGAGAGCAGTGGAAATTAGGTTGTATTATTGTAGTAGCCATGGTGATCAGCAGCATGCATAGAGCCCATATGACAGGAGAAAAATAACTGCTGAAAAATAACTGCATTCTGTGGCCACCTTCAGTCTGAGTAGCCACTTCATGTTTATACCAGAACTTTCAGGAGTTCTGGTGGTGGTGGTGGTGGTGTGTGTATTTGTGTTTGCTGTAATCACAAGTATTCCCGCCCTTGTCCCCTCCAGCCCCTCGTTGTCTGCCTGGAGTTTAAAACCTTTTAGTGCTTATTCAAATGCAACAGTGTAGATTACAATATCTCCCCATGTTTATGTGTATCTGAAAAGAGAAGTTAATAATTAAAGGCTGTTTTCTACACTTTTGCTTGAAAGACTGATTCTTTGAGACTGCAAAGTATTAGTTGCAAGACCTGGTTTTGTTTGTTACCTTATTTCTCTTAAATTTGTTTATTTCATACTTTGGCTCTAAAGAACTATTTGGTGTCTTAATGGTACATGCTATAATATTCCTATTGATACTATTATTTTTAGGTACACACTACCCATAATTCCAAATTGTATTTTATTGCCTTTACATGTTTTTTCTGTTTTCCCAGAAGATCATATACATAAAAAATAGTATCATGCATTTCAGCTTGTTCAAAATAGACTTTGTGAGGTGTTGATTGCTGTAACACTTAGAATTGTGTTTGACTATACAGAGTAGAAAACTCCATTAGTGATTTTAAAAATTGAACTTCATTTATTTTACATAACCAAAATTCCCAAAGTGTAGGGAGTTGTTGGTGTAGATTCAGCTGCTCACCAGGAAAGGACTTTATGCTCTTTTGTGTCCTTCGCAAGCCAGCATTTGCTCATGTTTACAGGATGGCCACAGTATATCCAAGCTTTACATTCTTGGTCCAGGTAAGAGAAAGTAGGAAAGGTTAAGGACCACCTTGCTATTTCTACTCCTCTTTATTACGAAAATAAGAGGCTTCCATAACAATTAATAAACTGCCCCTTAAATCTCATTGGCCGTAATTGTGTCTCACTGTTTCCTAGACACAAGGGAGCCAAAAACAAGCACGTCATCTTGGGCTGGCCACAAACTGTCCTCACTAAAGTCAGGAAAGAAAGGGGTGTGTATATATATGGAGCAGGCAGCAAACAATATCTGTTAGAGTACTGTGCCTAAAGTTTGTCTATTTTACTTGTTATTTTAATGCACATGGAATATAATTACTCAGAAATTGGTGCAGGAAAAAAGGAAGAAATCATTCTCAGCCTATCAGTTTCTCTTTCCTTGCATTATAAAACTAGATAATAGAATTCTTATGACTGCTCCTTTGTATAATATAGATTCTTGGATACAAAAAAAATTACACTTTGAAATAGTTAATAAAATAAAGAGATGTTTGTATTTGAATAAACAATTTTGAAGCGTTCACACTGGAATTCCATTTTCATTCATTTAAGTGAAGTGACAGTTTATTTTAGGGGAGATGTTTTTCACACTGTATAAATATATAAAAACATTGTAGATAGCATGATCTTATACATGGAACACTGAAAACTCTACCAAAAGAACTGTTAAAACTAATAAGCACATTCAGGTTAAGTTGCAGGATACAAAATCAACATGCAGAAATCAGTTGTTTCTATATGCTAGCAATGAACTTTCCAAAAAAGACATTAAGAAAACAAATTCATTGCAGTAACATCAACAAGAATAAAATACTAAGGAGTAAAATTAACCAAGGCAGTAAAAGACCTGTATGAAGAAAACTATAAAATGATGGAAGAAATTGAAGAAGACACAAATCAATAGAAAGTTATCCTATGTTAATGGATTGGAAGAATTAATCTTGTTAAAATGTCACTGCTGCCCAAAGTGATCTACAGATTCAATGCATTCTACATAAAAATTCTGATGGTATTTTTCACAGATAGGAAAACAATTCTAAAGTCAGTATGGAACCACACAAAACCTGAAATAGCTAAAGCAATCTTGAGCACAAAGAACAAAGCTGGAGGCATCATACTTCCTAACTTCAAACTGTATTACAAAACTATAGTTATCAAAACAATATGGTACCAGCATAAGAAAATAGACGCATAGACATTAGAACAGAATAGAGAGCCCAGAAATAGAACCACACATGTATACAGTCAACTTGCCTTTGAAAGAGCACCAGGAATGCACAGTGGGGAAATGATAGACTCTTCAATTAATGGTGTTGGTGAAAATGGATATCCACATGCAAAAGGATGAAATTGGACTCTTGTATTACATCACACACAAAAATCAACACAAAATGGATTAAACGTTTAAAAGTAAGACCTGAATCTCTAACACTCCTAGAGGAAAACATAGGGAAAAAGCTCTTTGGTGTTGGTCTTGAGAATGGTTTCTGGGATTTGACACCAATAGTGCAGGCAACAAAAGCAAAATTAAACTATTGGGACTACATCAAAAACAAAAAGTTTCCCTATAACAAAAGAAAAAAATAAAACGAAAAAGTGACCTACCGAGTGAGAGAAAATGTTTTCAAATCCTATCTGAAGAGGGAAAAAGTGGACATACTGATCAAAAGGGACAGATTTTCAGTTATAAATTAAGTTCTGGGTACCTAATATATAGCACAGTCACTGTAGTTAGTAATACAGTATTGTATACTTGAAACTGCCAAGACAGTAGATCTCAAATTCTCTCACCAGAAAAAGAAAGGTAACTGTGTGAGGTGATGGATGTTTCAGTTAGCTTAATTGTGATCATTTCACAATGTATACATATGTCAAAACATGTTGTACACCTAAAATATATACAATTTTTAGTAATCGAACCTCAATAAAGCTGAAAAAAACCAATAAAAAAAATGAACTGACAGTTTTTTGAGGGGAGGGGATTTTCACATTGTAAAAATAGTTTAGTAATCATTATACACAGGTTTATGATGGACAAATTTTAAAACAAAAATATGATTCTTAAATATCACAACCTCAAGGTGGATTATTCCATCAGAATCTAATGAAGAAGTTTTGACTTTTCATGTGAGGGAGACTTTTAATATGTTGGGAATGAAACTTTAGAAAAATATATTTATCAGAACTTTAAGTTTCAATTCAAAGTATCTGAGATTTTTCTTCCTTAAATAATTAAAATTTTTTTTTAGTTTGTGGCATAGGTATATTGTCACTGTATTTTTGGCCGCAGGGCATGTGGGATCTCAGTTCCCTGACCAGGGATTGAACCCATGGCCCCTGCGGTGGAAATGCGGAGTCTTAACCACTGGACCGCCAGGGAAGTCCTGTATTTTTGAATTTAAGAAACATAATACATGTTAACTGTATACACAGGCACTGAAGTCGATTTTAAGGAAAATAAAGACACGGTCCTCCCTCTTGGGGTATTTAAATTTTAGTTGGTGAAACTGAATTTACATACCTGAGATCAGTAAACAGTAAAAGACAGTATGTGATCAGGTATCAAAAGCTCTATAAGAATTTAAGAATAAAAGTAACTCTAGAGTGTGATTACTTATTGTAAAGGAAGAAGTGGATATTTAAGACAGGCTTGTTAAAAATATAGAATTTGGTTTGGTGGAAAGGTACAAGGTACAAAGACAGGCTCATCTTTCCATCTTCTGCTCTTCTGCTCATCCAGCACTGTCGAACTATTTGTAGTTTCTCAAGTGTTCTGTGCTCTTTGATAATTCTACACTTCTGTAGTGTTTTTTGTTTGTTTTTGGAATTCCCTTACTTGTTTGTCAGCCTGACAATTTCCTATCGTTCAAGACTCAGTTCAGATGTCACCTCCTCTGTGATGTCTTCCCTGAACTTTCCTGGGTAGAGTTAGGTGCTTTCTTTTCCTTTCTCCAAGTTCGTAATCATAGCCCTTCTTTCTCTTTCTCTTTCTCTCTCTCTCTGCCCTCACCCCACCCCATGTGTGTGTGTGTATGTAGTTATAGAGTTATCACATTGCACCATTATCTACTTGTCTGTCTCTTTCACAAGCTTGTGAGCTTTATGAACATGAGGGTTTTGCCATATTTATCTCCAAATCATAGTGCCTGGTGTAATGGTTTTTCACGTTAGCCTGATCATTGGATGAATAAATGGATGGTTGGATAAAAAGAAAATTAATCTGGAGTGTATTCATGAGTACTGGGGAAGCTTGTCCAGAGGGAATGTGGATGGTAATAATACTTAGCCCTATTCTTACCAATAGAGCTTGCAATTTATCAGTATTTGGAGATAAGATTGAATAGGCAAAGTAGGACTGGTTGGCAGTGGAAGTTTTAAGAAATAATAGAGTTACAGTTAATAAAATTTCTGAAATTGGTTTTTAACACGCCCATTTTTCAAACACACTGTGCTTTTGTATCTTGTAGTGCTTCCACTTCTCATTCAGAGAATTCAGTGCATACAAAATCAGCTTCTGTTGTATCATCGGATTCCATATCAACTTCCGCAGAGAACTTTTCTCCTGATTTGAGGGTACGTATACTGTTTCTAAGTTCTAGTGAAGTATTTTCTGTTAGCTGTTTGTGGCCACACTATCAATATAACCTTTAACTAATTAAGAAGGAGACACTGATGGAAGTCTCAAAGACCTGAGTCTTTATGTAATATCCCAGAACAGGCCATTCTTATTTATTTGTAAAAGAAAAATGTATAATTCGTCTCTGGGTTTGATATCTTTAAGATAATTAATGAATTTTTTTGTGATATAAAAGATTTTCATGAATACTCCCATAATGCTTTACTCCCAATAATAGCTAATATTTTTTGAGTACTTACCATGTGCCAAGTATTGTTCTAAGTGCTCTAATGAAATATCTCTTGTAATACTTTTAGCAATTCTGTGAGGTAGAAATTATTATTACTACCATTCTACAGATGACAGTAACTCAGAGAGAGATTAAATAACATGTCCAGGGTCTCATAGCCAATAAATTTAATTGTCAGTATTACAGCTCATGTAGTCCAGTTCTGGAGCTAAGTTACTTAAATACTGTGCTATAGTTGCTACATACCTCATTATAGTATGTAGGTATTCCTCTATTTATTAAAGGTCTTGTTGCTATGAAATTAACCGTATCAGTGATATCCTGTAGCACTTTGTACATTTTTGGATTCATCTGCTTTTCTACTGCTGCTTGTCTATGAATGTTGGGGAAAATGAATTTCATATGTAGTGATAACCTTTAAACCTTACCTCAGAATCTTTTTATTCTGATCAAGTGACTGCCTTCTCAGTGGTTATACTTTCACAATTTTAACTAAAACGTTGTTTTCATTAATGAAGTCATTTGCTGTTGAGAATATATTGAGAATATATCTTTGTCATGTATTTCATTTTCAAAACCAGAATCCAACAAATGTAAGAAGACAGGTTAGAAGCTTGTGTAAAGGTTTCTGCATATTTGCCATTATCTCTTGTGAAATGTCATAAAATACTAAATTGGGTATAGCAGGACTTTAAACATTACTACAAATGATAAACATTTATCTTTATAATCTGAATACACGCTGTGCTGGTTAAAAAGGCCTCATAATATCACTAGCTGTTATCTTGAAGCACAGCATACATTTCGGGCAGGGTTTATCATTAATAATAGTGGATATAAGTCCACTGTTGCCTTTCATTAATTTATTACTATTTAAAAATACATATTTGATATATGTATCTAACCTTGGTTTAGTCATTATATTAATAAAAATACATTAAAGGCCTGTAGGCCTCTTGATAATTTTGAAATTTTTTGGCCTACTTCTGGTCAGATTTTATTAGTTAAAAAATCATCGTTTTTAACTTCTTGTGACTGATAAAGAACTCATATTAGGAATGGGAGAAATGTCGCTTTTATTTTTAGCCTGTGCTTCTATTATTAATATTATATTTTACCTGCTGTTTCTTGCCTAAAATATGTTAAACCATGTGTGTATTCTTGTGAGGGTTAGCTTAGTTTTAAACTACTTAACTAGGCACGGGTGTGAATTGCAGTACATTGAAGGATGCTGAAAGGAGGCCTCCACTGTCAGCTTCTCTGTGTGCAGACCCCCTTTATTTCCTCAGGATGTCACGTATACCATAATAAGAGTGACTGGCTTACATTGGGACAAAATAAGGGTCATAATGTTAATCTGCAGGTTAAATATTATAATTTATTTCTTATTTTTATTAGATAATTTTTTTTTTTTTTGCATTACACGGGCCTCTCACTGTTGTGGCCTCTCCCATTGCGGAGCACAGGCTCTGGATGCGCAGGCTCAGCGGCCATGGCTCATGGGCCCAGCCGCTCCGCGGCATGTGGGATCTTCCCTGACCGGGGCACGAACCCGTGTCCCCTGCATTGGTAGGCGGTCTCTCAACCATTGCGCCACCAGGGAAGCCCTAGATAAATTTTTAATTTTAGAACAGGTTTAGATTTACAGAAAAATTGCAAATATTCTACAGAGTTCCCAGATACTTGACATCCAGTTTCCCCTATTATTAATATCTTACATTAGTATGGTACGTTTGTCAAAATTAATGAACCAATGTTGATGCATTATTATTAACTAAAATCAATGCTTTATTCACATATCCTTAGTTTTTACCTAATGTCCTTCTTTTTGTTCCATGGTCCATCCGGGATACCACACTGCATTTAGTAGTCATGTCTCCTTAGGCACGGCACCTCTTGGCTGTGACAGGTTTTGCTTTCTTTCTTTGTTTTTCATGACCCTGTTAGTTTCGAAGAGCACTGGTCAGATACTTTGTAGAATGTCTGGTGTTTTACCCATTATTAGACTGGGATTATGTTTTTTGGGGAAGAAGACCACAGAGGTGCAGAGCCATTTTCATCATATCATATCAAAGGTACATACTATCAACATGATTTGTCACTGTTGATGTTAACATTAATCACTTGGTTGAGGTAGTGTTAGGTTCTTTCACTATAAAATACTTTTTCCCCCTTCTTATCCTTATACTATACTCTTTGAAAGGAAGTAACTATGCACAGTCCATGCTTAAGGAGCCCAGACTACCTTGTTAGAGTGGAACACCTTTTATTTCTTTTGCATGAGAGATTTGTCTCTTCTCCCTCATTTATTGATTTATGCAATCATTTATTTATATCAGTATAAACTCATGGATGTTTATTTTATATATTACAGTCTAGTACTACTTTGTTGCTCAAATTGTTCCAGCTCCAGATTGGGATTTCTTTCAGTCAGATCTTGTGTCCCTTTGACATACTCCCATCATTATGGTGTTTTGCTGTTGTTGTTGATTGTTTTGTTTGTTGTTTGTTTATCAGCTCTTCCTTACTTTCTGTCACTGCAAGATACTCCAAGCTCATCTTGATACTTCCTGCCCCAGTCCTAGAATCATCATCCATTTCTCAGGGAGCCAGATTTCTTTTATTGGAGAATGGTATTAGAAACCAAGATCTGGGCACTACGTGCTCCCTCCCTTCCTTCCTTCCTCTCTCCCTCCCTCCTTTCCCCAGAAAAGGTAACAAAGTACTTTTATTCTCCTTCTGAAGCAAAAGATCATTTGCATACATCCTATTTGGAGATAATGAGTCTGGTGATCATATATGTAAGTTTGTCTGGAGTAGTCTTATTTTATGCTGTTGTCCCTTCAGGTTTTACATTAGACACAAAAATGTCCTGAATTATTGACTCTCTTAGCACTAGGATACTAAGGGAATCTGTTAAATTTATACATCAGGTCCATGACTTCAGGAATTGTCCCCATTAGTGCCTTGTCAATTCAGCATCTTTCACAACTTCGTGGGGCCCTCAGATAATTTTTTTTTTTTTTGCGGTACGTGGGCCTCTCACTGTTGTGGCCTCTCCCGTAGCGGAGCGCAGGCCCCGGACGTGCAGGCTCAGCGGCCGTGGCTCACGGGCGCAGCCGCTCCGCTGCACGTGGGATCCTCCCGGACCGGGGCACGAACCCGTGTCCTCTGCATCGGCAGGTGGACTCTCAACTACTGCGCCACCAGGGAAGCCCAACTCAGGTAATTTTTAATAGACAAATGAAGAGACAATTGTTTAAATGTTAAATTAAGGAGAAGATGGTTTTGGGCAACCAAAGGTTAACCGTACTTTCCACAGTAGAGTGCCTGAAAGGACAGAGAAAAAAGAAAAAACTAATATGCTTAGGCTGACTGTTTTCCTGGTTCCTCATTTTAAAAGATATCCTTGATTATTAGATATAATCTTTACCTTAATCACAGTCTTTTTTTCAGTTGTGGAAGGGAAATGAAGGAGTAACATTTAATATTTTAAAAATGCAGCCTGATTTCAAATGTATGTGTAGGGTGGAGGAAAAACATACTTCTAATAATTGAAAAAAGTGTAGTGTGCTACCTGGATAAATATTTATACACGCCTTATCTCATTTAACTTTCACAACAATCCTGTGAGACAGATATCACTACCCCGTTTGACAAAGAGCAACCTGATATTCAGAAGAGCTGAATTAAATCATGTGCTTAAAGGCACACAGCTGGGTGTTGCCCTTGTATTGATATTTGGTCTCAGATTGGTCATATTCCTGTACAGCACATTATCCAGAGAGACTATTCTCCCATGATTTTGTTGCTAAGTTTTTTCAAATGTGAAGTGCAATTTTCTTAATTAAAAAGAATAACTTTAACACATTTTTGAGGTAGAAATAGCAGTTTTCAATATCCCTTAATAAGTGAGAATTGCTTTTCTAATTAATCATAAAAGATGGTTTTTCTAATAATATCTGATCTCTCCCCCTTCTCAATTTTGTTAGTTGATGATATTTTGCTTTTATTATGTATACCTTTAGTGGCTATAAAATGGTAGTGTTCTAGTAAATTATAGGTGCAACTAACTGCAGACAGCTATGTTGTTCTTTGACCATGGTTTGGCTCTATTTATGAGATGAGGGGCTTGGTATGGTAGTTTGAACATCATCATTCACAGACGATTTGAAGTTGGTTAAACTCTAGGCTTTGAGTTCTCCACATAGCCTCATGTTTATCTCTGCCCTGAGCCTCAACATTTTAGAAGCTCTGTTAGTAACAACTTTTTTTTTTTTTTTTTTGTGGGCCTCTCACTGTTGTGGCCTCTCCCGTTGTGGAGCACAGGCTCCGGACACGCAGACTCAGCGGCCATGGCTCACGGGTCCAGCCGCTCCGCGGCATTGTGGGATTTTTCCGGACCGGGGCACGAAGCCGTGTCCCCTGCATCGGCAGTGCGGACTCTCAACCACTGCGCCACCAGGGGAGCCCCAGTAACAACTTTTAAATAGAAGTGTAAAGAACATAATGCATTGAAAAGCTAATCCTGCTTCATTAAAACTATTAAATTGAATTGTATAGGTTTTCTGCTGCAGGCACCATGAAGTGACACTTTCCTGAAAGGTTAGTGTTGTAGTGGAGTAACAGCTGTGAAAGCTTCTGTTGTGAATTTCTTAGTCAAGCAAGATTCTTTGCTCCTACATCCGTAAAGCAGAATGGAAAATC